CTTCATCTCCATTAATTGTGATGCTAATTTGTCTTTTTTTGATAATAAATAATAATAATATATAAGTGAAATAATATATTACAAGTGTTATTATAGTGTCATTATTTATTTACCTGATTTATCATCAATATCCATCATATTAGCATCACCTTTATTAGCATCATTTTTACTCTTTATTATTGTTAATTCATTCAATCTGGTTAACATTGCTGCTTCTACAAAAAATATTACTTCAGGTGATTGACATGAGATTTTTAATTCAACTTCGATAAAATTTTTATTTTTGTTTTGATTATCATCATCTTTCATCATTACTATTAAACTTTTTTAAAAATAAGATTAAAGAATAGATTAGGAATTGATTGGTATAAACATTGGTCATGTAAGTTTTTTTTTATATGAAAATTAAAAATTAGGTTAACTTTTTAATAATTGTATTAATTTTTTTTGTTTGATAGTAATTGTTTCTTTAAAAGATAGTAAAACTTTTAATAATAACAGTGAGTCAAATGAACTACCAAAAGAACCATTACAGACTTTAACTTATTCCATCTCATTATCTGATATGACATCAATATGGTAAATTTTTTTATTTTTCAAAAATATTGCCAAAAAATTATTTATTTATTTATTTAATATCTATATTATTATTATTATTTTAGGGAACATGATGTAGAAATAAATTTAAGATTTTTACAATTTCCTATAATGATTAATCTTGGTTTGACATTTTCACTTCCAGTTCCAAATAATATTTTTAATGAAAAACTTAATAAATGTATAAAAATTATATATATATATAAGTTTTTTAGATGATGATGATAATAATAATAACTAATATAATTCTTTATTAAATTTTTTTTTAAAAAATTAAAAGCAAAATCAGAATATTTTTCTTTGGGAAAATTCCAATATGATATTCTAGATTTTATAAAACCTTGTCCAGAATTTATTTTAGAAAAATTAAAAGAACAAAACAAGATTTATAAAAAAGGTTCAT